ATTAGCGCCGCTACTCCCGCCTTTCTCTGAATGCTTCATTTGCTTGAAATATCTTTTTTTGCCCTTTCACTTTGAGTCTATATTTGTCTTTGGAGCTGAGATGTGTCTCCTGGAGGCAGCATATGGTTGGGTTTTTGTGTTTTGATCCATTCTGCAACTCTGTGCCTTTTTATTGGTGAGTTCGGTCCATTTACATTTAGGGTGATTATTGAAATATGAGATCTTCTTATAGCCATTTTATCCTTTGCTCTCTGGTAGCTCAGTCTTTCCATTACTTTCTTGTACGTGTGTTTCTGTTTTCTTTAATTTGACTGGTTTTTGTGGGTTTTCCCTCTGGTCCCTCTTATTTTATGTTACATATTTTAGTTCTGAATCTTTGTTGTGTGGTTACCATTAAAATATGTAAAAGATAGTATATACAGTCGTTCATTTTCTTCTGCGCATGCTTTATCTCCACTCCCTTTTACTATTAGGATCTTTGAATCCTCCTCTTTTCAGTTATTGTTGTCTCAATTTGTCTCTATGTATGCTGAACATTCATTACTATCTTACTATAGCAAATCTCTATTATTGTTTAAGCTTATAATGCCCTATTCTTAGTAAGGGTTGCACTCCTCTGCTTTTATTTGCCTTCTCGACACCTTTTGCGTTTGTGTTATCTCCATTCCACTTTGCAAATTGGGTTTTTGATTCTTCCCCTTTTCTGTTGTTGTTGCCTCAAATTGTTCCTATGTATGCTAAATGTTGCTTTCTAACTTTTAATAGCAATTCTCTTATTGTTCACGCTTGTAATACCCTGTTCTTAATAAGGGTTGCACTATCCTGCTCCTGTCTGCCTGCTAGTCATCTTACTCATAGTTACATATTTTTTTGTCATTTTGTTTCAGGTGGAGCGACCCCTTTCAGTATTTTCTGTAATATAGGCATCATAGTGGAGAATTCCCTCAAATTTTGTATGTCTGTAAAGGTCTTTATATCTCCTTCATAACTAAAGGAGAACTTTACTAGATACATAATTCTTGGCTGGTAATTTCTTTTTCAATAGTTTGAGTATTTAGTTCCACTCCTTTCTCGCTTATAATGTTTATTCTGAGAAGTCCAAAAATAGTCAATGAATTTTTCTTTATAGGTTACTGTCTTCTTTTCCCTGTCTGTCTTGAGAATTCTGTCTTTGTCATTGATTTTCGATAATTTTAATACAATGTGTCTTGGAGAAGGCCTTTTTGAGTTGAGATAATGGGTGTTCTGTTGACTTCTTAAATTCCAATCTCTAGTTCATTACTTAGAATTGGGAAATTCTCATCAACTATTTGTCTGAAAATGCTTTCTAATTCCTTCTTCTTTTCTTCCCCTTCGAGAATGCCCATTATTCTTTTTACTCTCCTGATGGTATCAGCTAGTTCTTGTATTTCTCTTTCATTATTTTTCTTTCTTCAGTTTCTCTCTTCTTACTCTGCTTTATTTACAGATTTCCGTCTTCAGTATCACTGATCCTTCCCTCCATTTGGTCAGCTTTGTTTCCCAGGCTTTCTATTTCATTTTTCAACTCCAGAAGTTCTATTTGGTTCTTTTTTTTTAATTAGTTTGAAAAATATAGTCCATTGGTTAGATATCTATATAGTTCATAAAACGATCTCTCAATTGCTCCCTCCTCCTCTAACCTTCCACCTAGCCAATATATTAATGCTATCTGCATTTCCTATGCCATGCTCACCATCCCCTTGACCATCCATCACTTACTAATTTGCACTTCTTTAACCTTTCACCCCATTCTCTAAGTCTCACAAACCACCCTTCCCTCTGTCCATCATCAAATTCTTCATTATATTTGTGAGGTTTTTTTTTATTGGTTTGTTCTTTTTATTCCTTAGATGCTGCATAAAAGTGAAATCATACAGTGTTTATCTTTCTCTGTCTGACTTAAATACCTTCTAGGTCCATCAAAGCAGTATCTTTTTCCATCTTCTTCTTTTCAGTCTGTGTGTGTCTTTGAATCTGAAGTGTGTCTCTTATTGGCAGAATGTAGGGGTCTTTTTTTCCTTTCCATTCATCCGCCCTCTCTTTTAGTTAGAGCACATAAATCTTTTCCATTTGAGGTACTTATTAATAGGAATGTAGTTGCTACCATTCTTTATTCCTGTTTTTGATACATGCTTTCTTTTTCTTTATAAGAAATCCCTCCAACATTTTCTGTACTACTGGCTTGGTGGTGATATATTCCTTTAGCTTACTTGTGTCTGGGAAGCTCTTTATCTGTCCTTCAACTCTAAATGATAGCTTTGCTGGATAAATTATTCTTCATTATAGATCCTGGGTCTTCATCTTGTCAAATATTTTGCCAAGCCTTTCTGTCCTGCATAGTTTCTTTTGAGAAATCTGCTGCCAGTCTTATGGGTGTTCTCTTGTAATTAATTATCTGCTTTTCTCTTGCTGATTTTTAAGATTCTGTCTTTGTATTTAACCTTTGGCATTTTAATTATGATGTGTCTTGGTGTGGGTCTCTTTGGGTCACTGATATTTTAGAATTTTCTGAGCTTCCTTGGGTTATATTTCATCAAATAGCTGCTCAACATCTTGATTTTCTTCAGATATGCCGATCAG